CAAATCTGAGGAGACAGGATCACAGGATGCAGCCTGAGATCCTGGACCACAGAGGGCAGGGCACGGGGGTGGGATGGCCCGTGGCATCGTGCAGAGCTGACCTCCTGGCTTCAGAAATCAGCTTGCACTTCTGCTCCTTAAGGGGTCACTGCTCCCTGAAGCTGGGAGAAGATGTTAGAGAGCCCCATACAACTTCTGTGACATTTCTGGGAGCCTAAAATTATTTCAGAGTGAAAAGTTAAGAAGAAAATAATCTCGCATCAGCTGTTCCCATCATGAATCTCATCAGGAAACCCCAGGTTTTCAGCTTTGGAAGGAAATCATCCTTGTTTGGTTTTGTTGAGACAGGGTCTCACTATACATATAGTCCAGGTTGGTGTCAAACTCACAGCCATCCTCCTGACTCAGCCTCCTGATTTCTGGGATTACAGGTGTGCACCATTCTTTTGATCATAAATTGCTTAAAATTTCAGGAAAACTGCAGGTTCGGGTGAAGAGTTAAGCAGATGTTCCTAGTCCTTCTGGACTAGCAAGAACAGAGTCCCAAAGGAAGATGTCACAGGCAGCCCCAAGCTGGCCTCTAATGCACCTTTTTTTTTGGTACCGAGGATCAAACTCAGGACCTGTGCTTTTGAGACAGGTGTGGTGCCACTGAGCTAAATCCCCGGCCCTCTCATGCACCTTTTGAGGGATTGATCTCTTAATTCCGAGACAGGAGGAAGGAGGACAATGAGCCCCAAATAGTGAAGGAGGTTTGTGTAGGAGGCCTGCTTGTTCATAGTTAGTGTAAACTTGGGGCTTGACGACTTCTTTTTTTCTGTTGTTGTTCCGGGGATTGAACTTGGGATCTTGCACTTGCAAGGCAGGCGGCACCACCACTGAGCTAAATCCCTGGCCCAAAAGCACCCTTAAGTAGCCCCCAACACGTACCAGGGATTGAACTCAGGACCTTGCACTTGCAAGGCAGGCGTGTTACCAACAGAGCTAAATCCCCAGCCCTCTTTTTGGTGTTTTTGAGACAGGGTCTCGCTATGTAGCCCAGGCTGGCCTTGAACTCACTATGTAGCCCAGGCTGGGCTCAAACTCTTGGTGATCTTCCTGCCTCTGCCTTCTGAGTGCTGGGATGACAGGCAGCACCATGGCCAGCAGGGACTTGACTTTCTGCAGCAACCCAACATGCCTCCACCTCCTTGTGGTAGGACATTTCTTCCTCTTTGCAGAGGCTGCCCTGGACCCATGACCTCACCACCAACCTTGACTGTCACTGTGAGGAACACAGTAGTGGGCAGCATCTGTCACTAAGCAGGTACTGTTGCTGTGACCTGTTTCTATCTCCTACTGAAAATGCATATTTTGTATATCTCTGGATATTTTCTCTCCTTTTTTTTTTTTCCATATTGGGGCTTGAACCCAGGGTCTTTATACTGAGCTACATCCCCAGCCTGTTTTTATTTTTTATTTTGAGACAGGGTCTTGCTAAGTTGCTAAGTTGCCCAGGCTGGGCTCAAACCCTCCTGCCTCAGCCTCTCAGAGTGCTAGGAATATAGACTCTGAGTCCCAAGCCGCCGTCTCCTCCTCCTCCTCCCCCTCCCCCCCTTCCTCTTCTTCTTCCTTTTTTGGCTTCAAATAAACACAAAAATCACACTGAAGGGATTCAAAGATGCCATTTCAAAAATCTTGCTTCCTGCTCACGAGTCAGCTGTCATAAAGATCTGGTCACACAAATACCAGAGTTTTCTCTTTATAGTCAAGAGAGCACAAATGGGGCAGATGTAAATTTCAAGGGGTACCAGTAAGTTAAAACAAATTCCTGGGCCTGGGATTTAGCTCAGTGGTTCAGTTGCCTGCCTTGCAAGCACAAGGTCCCGAATTTGATCCCCGGTACAAAAAAAAAAATTCCGGTCATAACCCAAGTTGTTTGTGTCAGGCCAGTTGTAACTTGAGGGTCCACTGTACAGTCCCTTAGGCAATACTGATCCAATGGAGAGGCAGGTCATGTAGCAAGTGTAGGTGGAAAGACCAAGGACCTTTCCTGGAAGGGATGGGTCGGGGGTCTTTGCCCCCCCCCCCAGGTGACTGATGCCTATTTAGAGTATCAGTCATTATTGTTCCTCCCTCGGGGAAGTACACTGGACCCTTGGGTTATGACCGGAACTTTAGATTCAACTTACAACCAAAGTCTTCAGTTACGACCCATATGCCAGCCGGCCACTTGTGCTTCCAGATGGTCTCAGATACAGATTAAACCCTTACAGAATTCTGGAAGGAACATGACTACATCCTTTTCTTTGTGGGGTTAACTGAGAAATCCTGGGCCAGTGTCTCTCTCAGGACACTGAGATCTGCCTGGACACAGGAGAGGGACTCTGAAGGTTGTGTAGAGGAGCCTGAGCCTTCAGTGACCAACTTGAGTTACAACCAGCCCTCAAGAACAAATTGAGTTTGTAAGTCAAGGGTCCACTGTACTTGTAATCTTTTTTTTTGGTACCGGGGATCGAACTCGGGTCCTTGTGCTTGCGCAGCAGGCGGCGAAACCACTGAGCTAAATCCCTGGCCCTTGTACTTGTAATCTTATTGGTCGTCCATAGTCATGTCCTTCCTTATGCCCATCTCATGACTTTCCTCTATAAATCTCCTCTGAGAAGTGGGCTCAGGGGCAACATACTTTCCTGGCTCCCTCCTGCCATTCTCAGGCAGGAACTATCCCTCAATAAATATTTCCTCCTCTTAACCCCTGTTGTTCCTAGAATTCATTCTTTGATTTTAGAGTACATGAGCTCAGTGTATCAGGCATCTGACAGGTTGGGGGTTGTATTTCCCTTATGTTATTGGAGGTCCTTATATCATCCCAGGACTACCATGGGCTGTAGATTTTCACTGTGGCCTCCCTCACCTGATTCTACATTTTTTTTTTGGTACCGGGGATCGAACTTGGGTCCTTGCGCTTCCGCAGCAGGCGGTGAAACCACTGAGCGAAATCCCTGGCCCTGCAGTGTTTTAAGTGAGTAACACTTTCTTTCCCTCCCAACAGAATGATTTTAAAGCTGTGTTGGCTGAACTTGCTGCCAGTAGAACACATGAAGATTGACCACATGTCTGACAGTGGATTGATTCCCTTCATATGTAAAGAGCACTCACAAATCAATGAGACCAGTAGGTGGAAGAGGCAGGTGGGCAGAGGATAGGAACAAATTACTAGGGAAGATGTCTGAAAATATGCAAATATCTCCCTATGGAAGAAAACTGAGTTCCAATTAGATATGCTGCCTTTTCCTTGTGAAACTGAGAAAGAACTACTGACATGTAGTGAAGGACTGGAACAGACACTCTCGATTTCTTTTTGGTACTGGAGATCGAACTCAGGACCTTGTGCTTGTGAGGCAGGTGTGGTGCCACTGAGCTCAATCCCCGGCCCTCTCGATTTCTCTTAGGGTGATTGTTTTTGGAAGGCAATTTGGGAATACTCTTCAAAGTTGCATGTGTACTTTTTTTTTTTTTTTTTGGCGTGGTACCCAGGGCTTTGTACTGAGCTCCATCTCCAGCTGTTTCATATTTTGAGACAGGGTCTTGCTAAGATTCCTAGGCTGGCCCCAAACTTGCTATCCTCCTGCCGCTGCCTCCCAAATGATGTCATTCTGAGATGAAAGGTATGTGCCATCGCACCTGCCTCGAATATGCCTTTGACAATTCTAGGAAATTATCGTATGGACTCACACAGAAGCCTGAAGCATTCACAACTTTTGTTTCAGGGCATTTTATACCAGGGGATGGCCAAGTCTGGCCTGTAGGTCACATCTGGGTGGCTGCCTGGTCCTGTAAAGAATTACTGGCAACAACCACACACCTTCACTTACATTTTACCTCTGGCTACTTTTGTGCCATAAGGGCAGTTGAGTCCCTCGACAGGGAATTGGGGAAATAAGTCTGAGCTTAGTTACACAATGGAATCAGATAAATGCAGCACGATAAGGCACTACTGTACAGCTAAGAAGCTAATGTGCAAAATTCAAGGCATGGGTGAGTACCTACTTGTGGCCAGGCATATATGCATTGACGGCTCAGGGAAAGATATGGTAGACATGTTGGTGGCCACTAAAATAAATATATATGTATGTTTTGGAGACCAAGTCTCACTATGTAGTCCAGGCTGGCTTCAATTCAAACTTGTGGCAATCCTCCTGCCTCAGCCTCCAGAGTGCTGTGATTGCAGGTACGTGGCACCACATCCAGCGCTATAGTTTTTGTACTGGTGTCTTTTGTAGCAGTGAAACTGGGGACTAAAGTGCCAAGGCTTTGGCACTAAGCTGCATCCCTTGCATTTTATTTTGTTTTTGGTACCAGGGATAGAACTCGGGACCTTGCACTTGCGAGGCAGGCGGCGGCACCACTGAGCTAAATCCCTGGCATTTGCACTTTGAGATGTCTCAGTAAGTTTCCTGGGCTGGAACTCGTGATCCTCTTACCTTGGCCTCCTGAGTAGCTGGGATGATAGGCGTGCACCACTGTGCCTGACTGTAGAGGCTTTAGAGTGGGGCTTCCAAAAGTATCTAGAATGGGGACTGAGCATGGCGGTCCCTGTGCTATTAGAAAGCCCAAGGGCTGGGGATTTAGCTCAGTGGTTTCACCGCCTGCTGCGCAAGTGCAAGGAGCTGAGTTCAATCCCTGGTACCAAAAAACAAAAAAAAAAGAAAAGAAAGCCCAAGGGCCAAGCACTGTCAGCAGTGCCTTGGTTGGTGTCTTGGCTGGCTGGCAATGCCTGCCCGGTTGGCATTTCCTGGGAGCGGGGCAAAGCCCCTGGACAAGTTCAAGGACCCACAAAGGGCAGCACTTTGGGGGCCACAGACCCACTGGTCCTCCTGGACGCTCAGGGACACTGGCTGCTGGGCACAGTTTGTCCTCTCTGGGCTAGGCCACTAAGGGGCCGGGCACTGTCAAGGGGGCAAGCGTGACACCCGGCATCCCCTCCCCCTAGGACAGTGTCAGGACTTAGGAGCCTCGGGCAGGCGGCAGTGTCCCATCTGGGATTGTTTAATGAGTCTACTTCTTACACGCATAATTATAAAAGAATAAGAATTGACAAAAATATTTTCTTTCCATAATATGTAGAGGTGGTTTCCTTCCTTCCTTTTTTTTTTTCTCCTTTTCTTTTTGCTCTTTGCCTGAACTCTTGGAGGGGAAGGGAAGGAAGTGGGACCAGGACCCCATGGTGGGCAGTTCCCACTCCCAACACCGGGACCCTGTGTCAGGGCCAGGCAGACGTGTGTGGCTGGACAGCTGGGGAGGGGAGAGCAAGGGCAGGAGGGCTCCTTGCGTCCACAGGCGTCAACCCCAGCAGGCCCTGGCCACTCTGCCGTCTGGGCTTTGGACACGCAGGGCTCACAGTGGAGGGTGGACACCCCACTGCCCAGCCACACACCCTGATTCTAGATCTAGGCACCCCTTGCTTTCTGTCTCTTAGTTATGTAAAATGCCCCTTGAGGGAATGCAGATATGAAGTGGGTGGCGGCGGGGAGGGAGGACAGGCATTCCCAGGCTCCTGTGCTGGGGACGGTGGCTGCCAGCACAGGGGACCCAGGCCATCGGGGTGGAGGGCACCCAGGGCTGTGCCCACCTCACTCCCCAGCCTGGCTCCTCGGAGTCTCTTCTGGCCGAAGAGCTGGGTGGCCCAAGGCAGTGTCACCTGCGGATCAGCCACCGTCTCTGTCCTGGCAACCAAGAAGCAGCAAGCAAAGCAAACCAGGAGCAGTAATTAAAAAAAAAAAAAAAAAGGATTGAAGGCGTTAGGGCGGGAAAGGCAGCGGTGAGGTGGCTCCTCCTGGGCCTCAAGGCTGTCCTGGGGCGGGTGGCAGGACAGGCGCCCAGGCGGGTGTGTGGGGCCACTGGGGGCCTCTGCCTGGCCCTGGGCTTTGTGCTCTGGAGTGAGGCCCGGCGGCTCAGAGGTATTCTTGGAGAAAGTGCAGCAGCGTGACCTCGTAGTGCTCGCCTGACTCGGGGCATCGGATACTGTGTCTCTCGTTGGGGTAGATCTGCAGGGAGGAGGGACACAGGGGCTGAGGGGGGCACCCCAGTCCTGGGGCTCCTCCCCTGCTTCTGGAAATGGGGTGCAGAATAAAAACCCGTGGGCTCTTTGGGGGCTCAGGAAAGCAAGCCCCACGAGACTTCACACTCTCGGAGGTGTGAGAGGCTAAGGGAGACGCCAGGGCCTCCTGCCCTCTGGCCGGCTGAGTGCCACACGCAGGTCCCCAGGAGGCTCTGGGGCTCAGTCTCCGTGCCCTCACCTCCGCCACCCTGCTATACCCCGTTTGAACCTCATGGACTGAGCTCCAGGTCCCCAAGGTAGCAACCAATCCTGGACTTGTGTTCTCTCTGTCATCCTACCACGTGAGAGGAACGTGACCAACAGCGGGCAGTAACACGTTGGTGTCAGGGCCACTGAGACCCGAACCAGCCAATGCCTGGTCCTCTGGGTGGGCGGAGATGGGGCACTAGTCGTGCTTTTGGCCATGAAGCCAGTCTCAACAGTTCCCTGCTGTCCCTAGGACTGGAGGGACAGCTCTGACACCAGACCCACAGGTTCCTGGAGGACCCGGCCATAATGTGGTGGTCCCTCTACCCTGCCCATCTCTCTCTCTTTCCCTCTCTCCTTCCCTCCCTTTCTTTTCTTTTTTTTTTTTTTTGATACCGGGGATTGAACTCGGGTCCTTGCGCTTGTGCAGCAGGCGGTGAAATCACTGAGCTAAATCCCCGGCCCCCACCCTTTCTTATACTGGGGATTGAACCCAGGGTGTTTGCACTGAGCTACGTCTCCAGCCCCTCATTCTTATCTTAAGATAGGGTTCAGGTCTCTAAGTTGTCCCAGCAGGCTGGGGTTGGACTTGTGATCCTCCTGCCTCAGCCTCCCAGAGTGCTGAGATGACAGGCATGTGCTCGACTGAGGTGGGTCTGAGCCATACCCTCCTCTTCAGGCTCACGGATGTCAAGTGGCCCACTGGCCTGGGAAGTAAGGCACCAAGCAGCCACTGGGCTCCTCCCCTTTATGCTGGGGTTCTTCAACCACCCCAGGAAAGGCTGCAAGTCTGAGGACACTGTCCCCGGCCTGGAACTACACAAGGACTCATCAACCTGCCCTCAAGTCTGGTCGCAATGGGGGCAGTTCCCCTCCATCAGCTCCTCACCCAACAGGGACTCTGCCTTCTTTCTCCCTCCCTGGCCAGCATGGTGGGACCTGCCAAGCCCTGGTTCCTGGAAGGCTGTCCCCATGCTCTGTGACCCCGTTCCTTCATCTGTTCAATGGGAACAGTGCTACCTAGACAGAATCTCCACTCCTTGGAGACCCCAACCCCTTCTAATAAAACCCTGCCCTCATCACCTTAGCCCCACCCCCAATTGAAGCCTTACCCCTTACCCCTAAAACCTCACATCCCTAAGCCCCGCCTCTCACCAAGCCCCACCCACACGAGGTCCCGCCCACCCAGGCCTTGCCAATCACCTGGCCACACCCCATTCCACTCCCTCCAGCTGCAGGGCATCCTGTCCTCAAGCTACTCCTCCTGTACCCTAGGGGGCCTGGTGCCCTTCCTCGGCATGCACTAGCAGCCTCGCACCTGGAGTTGGTAAGGTTTCCCGGCCCGGATGAGCTGCGAGACGAGGAAGTTTGTGTGGAAAAAGTGCACGTTTTCATCCAGAAAGCCGTGGAGGATCAGCAGCCGGTTGGGCCTGGAAGACCATGAGGACAGGGGTTTAAGGCCGGGGTTGCTGTGGGGGCTCAGGGCCAGTCTCCAGCCCCAGCGTGGCACCGCTGACAGGCAGGGTCATCTTGGCTCTCATGCAGGGAGGGGGAGGGGTACACACCGCGAGAACTCTGCGGTGACAATGTTCTACACCCACCCTGGCCCTCACTGGCCACTTACAGCTGATGAGCACATGCAAAGTGGCCGGGATGACTAAAGAAGTAAATTCTTTTAATGTTTTAAAATTTTAATTTTTAAATTTTGAGGCAAAGCCCCCCTAAAGTGCCTAGGCTGGATTCGAACGTGCAATCCTGCGAGGGAGGTAGGTTAACAATCACATGGCACCCCGCCTGGCTTATTTTTTCTCTCTATGAAAGAATCTACTGAGGTCGAATTCATTTAATCTGAGGTAAGTGTTTTGTTTTGGCTTTTTTTGGTACCAGGGATCAAACTCGGGACCTTGTGCTTGCAAGGCAGGCAGTGGAACCACTGAGCTAAATCCCTGGCCCTAAAGTAACTGTTTTGAGGCGAAGGATTCTGGGGCACCTGGCGCCTCTGCAGGGTCCTGCACTCGGCCACCTCTCTGGCTGCAGAATACTGCCCACTGCCACCAGCAGTTGCTAATTAGCGCCGTCCTTGGATTCACAGTGACGGGAACATGGACGCACGCGGCCCCTGCTGGTGCTCGAGGTCAGTGGCGTGGGGTCAGGCTGCGCTTTAGAGTTGTCCTGGAGCCCAGTTAGAGCTCCACAGGTCCCTGGAAGGGGCTCTAGCGGATGCCAGGGCACTAGCCAATGGGGACGCACCAGAGAAGGTCACCAAGCCCAAAGGTGAAGGGGACATCTGGGTGCCCCTGGCCTGACGCTATCACCTGGTGGGCGTCTATGTCCCAGAGCACACTGGCAGTGGCCACGAGACAGTGGTATGGGTCAAGGAGCCCATGGCTACATTCAGGGCAGTAAAGCCAAGTACGGTGGTGCACGCCTGTCATTTCCGCATGCACAGCCTCTGGGAGGCTGAGGGAGGAGGATCGCAGTTCAAGCACAGCCAGGGCAATTTGGCAACTTAGGGAGACCCTGGCTCAAAAAATAAAAAGGGCTGAGGATGCAGCTCTGAGGCCCTGGGTTCAATCCCCAGTGCACCAAACAACAACAAAATAAACCCTTGTGGGCAAGCGCTTAGGGGGTCTAGCGATGGGGATGTGTGAGAAGTGGGGCGACGCCATCTCTTCCGATTCGGAGAGGCACAGAGTGGGCAGCCAAGTCCTGGCCTGGGGCAAGAGGTGGGCCCGGGCATGCAGCAGGGCCTTACTCGTTGGGCAGCTTCTCCACGTGCAGGGCCACAGAGCCCGCCTCGTAGCCCTGCTGGTTGTTTTCGGGCACATCCATGTAGCGCTCCGTGTACCCGGTGTCGTAGGCCATCCACACGGTGACCGGCGCGCCCGCGATGGCCACCTGGCGGACACAGAGGGCGGGCAGGGAGAAACGGAGAGAGAAAGAGGCGTCGAGTCCGGGTGCGGAGCTGCCCGCTGTCCGGGCCTTCCTGGAGGCGTGGGGCTGGTCATGCATGCGAGTGGCAGGGAGGGGACCCTGGCCGGGTGTCCCCAGGGCTGTCCCTGGGGCTGTGCGCTGCTCCGGGGAGGAGGGCATCGCGGGAGGACACCGAGGGCCCGGCCCCACTTCCTCCTCCTCCTCGTGGCCGCCGCCCCGGTGCCCCGACTGTGCCACCGGCCTAGGCCCCCTCCCCGAAGCTCTCCACACCATGCCCCACCTCTGCCCATCCGAGGCCGGGGTCCCGGGCTCAGCCTCCCAGAGAGAGCTGCCGGCGGGCTGGGGCTTTTGTGCGGCCGGATGCCATCCTGGGGTCGGCGGTGGCGGGCAATGAGGAGGGGGGCTCGGCCCCGTGGGGCTGCTGCGGAGAAACAGCCACGTGGCGAGGCCCCTGGCGCAGGCGCCTCCGGGGTTGGCTCGGTGGCGTGGGCGGGGCCGCGGGCGGGCGGGGCCGGTGGGCGGGACTAAGGGGACAGGGGCGGGGCCTACCTTGAAGACCTCAGGCTTGTGGATGAGGCCCATGAGTGACAGAAAGCCACCATAGGACCAGCCATGGATGGCGATGCGGCTCAGGTCGATGAAGCCGTACTTCTGGGCCACGAACTGCAAGCCCTCCACCTGGTCTTCGATCTCCACTTGGCCCTGGGGGCAAGGCCAGCAGCTCAACGGCCTTTCTCCGGGGCAGCTCAGCACCCACCTCTGGCCCCATGCAAGCTGCTTCTCCTAGATTAGGAGCAGCCTGTCTCCCTGGCCCATCCCGGACCCTGCCAGCTCTTGTAGGGTGCTGGCCCTGCTCTGCTGCCTGGCTCCCGGGCGACTCTTGGTCACAGGTCTGCTCTGGCCCTCAGTCTGCTGGCCCTGAGATAGGCACGGTCACATGATCTAACAGTCAGCATGCCCAGTTGTGGTGGGGTGGCAGGGGCCAGTGCCAAGGCTTGGTCAGCCCCATCACAAGCCACTGTCACCTCTGTCAAGCACTGGGCGATGGTCTTCCCTCCAAAATCCAATCCCCCGGGGTGGCCTTAGGAGGGGACTGTGTCACCACGGCTGGTGTCAGGACAGACAGGCCCCCATGCAGGACTCTGTCCCTTTTTGGCCCTTGCATCCCTTTCTCCACATGCACGTTCTACCCCTCTGGGGGCAGCAGCAGCAAGGCACCACCCTGGCACTGAGGCTCAGCCTTTTCCACGCGCCTGTCCTCCAGAACCGAGACACATTTCCATTCTGAAGTGCCCAGAGCTGTGGTATCTTGGTACAGCAGCAGGAATGGAGGTAAGACGGTCACCACCACCACCGCCATCCTTATCACTGTCACTACAATAATGATCTTCGCTTCTGTTACCACGACTCCAGCCACTGTCCCTGTCCAGCCCAGCCACAGGGCTTCCTGTGGGCCCCACCGGTACTGCTGTGTCCAGCTGTATCTGCATCTCTCAGCCTCCCCCAGGGATATGTGCCTAGGCACATGTGGCCAGGACATTCACCTGTGTCCCCATGGCCCTAGCTCAGAGCTGAGCAGCAAAGCGGGATGCTTGCTTGGTTTTAACGGCCACCTCACTAACATCCTGGCCAGGACTGTCCTGCAGATGGGGCCCACAGCCCAGCCCACCAGACACGGGGCTCCCTTTCCTGATGTGGGCAGGGCCCAGAACAACAGTGGCGGGAAGTTACCATTTGGTTCTTCAGGGCTCCTTCAAATCGGAGCCCCCGCTGACAGGATCCCCGGCCGTCAATCACAACCACAGCATAGCCCAGGGACGCCAGTGTGTTGAGCCGCAGGTACTTGATGCCTTTGAAGGAGTTATTCACGAGCTGCACCTGTGGAGGGTGGGGGGTGAGTGTCTACCAGAGACACCAGGCGGACGAGGGCGGGGATGGGACAGGCACACCCACCTGGGGGCCCCCATACACAAACAGCACTGTGGGGTGCTTCTTCCCCGGCTGCAGGGTGTGCGGCTTGTAGATCATGCCATAGAGCCGCACATCCGACCGCGTGTGGAAGTGGAAGATCTCGGGGGGCACATAGTCCGGGGGACAGCCTGTGGGAGGGGGTGTCTGTGACTTCCAAGTGGAGGTGCTGGGCTGGCCATACCCAGCTGTCACCAGGCTCCATGGCCCACCTGAGCCTCGGAGGGGGGACCCAAAGCGCCCCTCTTCCTCTGGGCTTCCTGATAGAGTTGGGGCGGTGAGAGGAGAAAGACCCTGCAGGATGACTAAAGGGGAACCGGGGGATGCCGTTAGGGTGAACAAGTGTGAATGTTCAGAGATCCTCGAGCTGAGAAAGCTTGTCCCCTTCTGGCTACTCTCCACTCTTCGTCCCCCCAAGGAGAGTGACTCAGCATGGCTGGGACCCTGACCTTGCTGACCCCCAGTGGCGGCCTGGGGCCTTTAGTACAAGAGACAGTTCATTGTATAGGCTGTTGTTCACCGAGTTCATTCTTTCTTTCTTCCCTCCCTTTATTTTTTGTGGTAATGAATATTCAACCAAGGGGCTTTGCACTGAGCTCCAAAACCAGCCCTTTTTACTTCTTATTTTGATGTAGGGTCTTAATATATTGCTGAGTTGCTAAAGCTGGCTTGGAATTTTCCTGCCTCAGCTTCCCAGAATGCTGGGATGACAGATGTGCACCATGGCTGGCTTTCTGATTTTATTTTATTTTATTTATTTATTTTTTTTGGTACCAGGGGTTGAACTTGGGTCCTTGCGCTTGCGCAGCAGGCGACGAGACCACTGAGCTAAATCCCCAGCTGATTTTATTTTTTTTGTGTGAAACCAGGGATCAAACTCAGGGCCTTGCACTTGCCAGGCAGGTGCAGCACCACTGAGCTAAATCCCTGGCCCTCTAACTGATTTTTTCCAAAGTGACACTGGTTGTCCAATCACAGTGGTGGGGGTGAGGTTCTTCCTGGAGTATGTTTCTTTTTTTTTTCCTGGTATCAGGGATCAAACTCAGGACCTTGCACTTGTGAGGTAGGCACGGCGCCACTGAGCTAAATCTCCAGCCCTGGAATACGTTTCTTTTTTTTTTTGGTACCAGGGATCGAAGTAGGGTCCTTGTGCTTGCGGGGCTGGCGGTGGAACCACTGAGCTAAATCCCCGGCCCTGGAGTATGTTTCTTTAGGTAGAGGGCAAGTCAATTTAAAGGAAAATCAGCAGTAACACAGGTCCAGTTGGCAATTTACCGGAAGCCGCCAGGCTCTGAGTGTCTCAGTGTCACCGCTATGGGCAAACACGGTCGAGGACAAAGTGTGATGATGTGACTGCCTTGCCCTGCCTTGGCCACTCCTGGCCAGGGATCTCCTAACCTGATATTGGCCGAGAGCTCCGCAAATAGCCCCTTGGTCACCCAGGGTCCTTGTACCCTGCCAAGGACCTGCCCTCAGGTGCCAGGGCCAAGAGCCAGGAGGCCTCTTATTTACCCGGAAGTATGGCTTGTTTCCTTTTTTATTTACTTTGAGACACTGTGTAGCCCAGGCTGGCCTTGAGCTTGCTCCAACCCCCTGGCCCCATCTTCTGAGTGCTGGTTACAGGAGTGCGCCACCACGCCCAGCAAACTAGAGCCCCTATTTGTGCCTCCCAGCTGGGCCTCCAGGGCCAGGAGGAAGTGGCAGGTTCTGAACTGGCTGGGTGCTAGTGTGAGGCACCCAGGATCCGACTGTCCACCCACCCCGTTCTGGCTGCTCACAAGCACTCGATGCCGGGAGCCCTGCCGGCCGGATCTCGGGCTCCCGCTACTCACTGGCTGCCTCCATCATGCTGGCCCAGAAGCGTGGCTGCTTGTGCAGGGGGTCATCATCGGGGCCACTGAGCTTGTACACGTGCACGCAGGGCGGGGTGCTCACACTGCTATAGTGGCTGATGAACATGTCGAAGTTCTGTGGGCAGCAGGGCGAGTGCTCACATGGGGAACTCCACCACCATGCAGTGTCATCATCCCTCCTCCCACACAACACCTCTCCCTGCCTCCATACTGACCGGGACCACACAGTCACCCAGCTGTCCTGTCATCCAACTGTCAGGACAGGGATGGCCGTCATTCTGAGGCCCAGTAGGTGGCTCTGCCCCCTCCCCGGGGGTTGCAGCCTGGCCATGGTCATGACAGAGGTCCACTGCCCTCAGGGATGGGGACGCTGGGGCAGTGCCCACCTGGCTCATGGAGCAACTGTGCGAGAAGCCAGGCGTGGTGAGGCGCACGATCTCGCCGGCTGTCTCATAGCTGACCACATAGAGGTGGTGCTCCAGCGGTGTGTCCTTCGTCCCTTGGAAGTACACCAGCTTCGTCTCCTCGTTGACCCAGATCTGTGGGGGACGGGTCTCCTGTGACCAGTACCAGGCCCAGCTGGGGCTTCCAGCCTCTCCCCTGTGGCCCTGCGCCTGTGGTCAGGGGACCCACTTGTCCCCGTCTGACCCCGGGTCCTCTGGCAGGGCTGGAATCACAATGCAGGACCTGGACAGTCCCTTGGGGCCATGGGGGCAGAGCCTGGGACCCGCCAGCCCCTGGCCTACTCAGCCTGTCCCTCAGGCCCTACAGAGACTCAGCATGGCTCTCTGGGGTGCTTAGACCAGGACTGTCCCGGAAGGACACACAGCCGCTGAGGGGGGATCCTCTTTGAGCAATCTCCCCAAAATGAACCCAGAGTCCCACAGGATTGAGGACCTCCTCCTGCCCTGACTGTGGACAGAAGAGCATGGCCCTGTGCCCAGACCAAAGAAGCTGGAGGGAGTGGCTGAAGCCCTTGAAGTGACCAGAGCCCTTGTGATGTTGGGGTGGCTTTTCTGTGGGGCAAAGGTGGAGATATGAATAGCTATTGTAGGTCTGGGGCGCACCCAGCACCCGGCAGGCAAAACATCTCACAAAGGGCACAGCCTTCAGCAGGGCATGCACAGTGGAGCACACCTGTAATTGCAGCACTGAGGGAGGCTGAGGCAGGAGGATCACAAGTCAAGTCCTACCTCGGCAACTTAGAGCCTGTCTCAAAGAATAAAAAAGGCTGGAGGTTTAGGTCAGTGCAAAGGCCCTGGGTTCAATCCCTAATACTGGAAACAACAACAACAACAAAGGGACACAGCTCCACAAAAGAGGCTGCTGGGAACTGCTGCTAAGGAATTTACCCGAGAAGCTGGAAAACCTCTGAAACATAGGGATAAAGATGCACAAAGTAGGGCCGGGGATTTAGCTCAGTGGTTTTGCCGCCTGCTTCGCAAGCGCAAGGTCCCGAGTTCGATCCCCGTTACCAAAAAAAAAAAAAAAGCACAAGCACAAAGCGTGTGGAGCTGTGTGAGGGGGGTCAGGGAGGTGTGCGCTGGTGTGAGGGAGGGATCCAGCAGTCTGGCCTGAGGAACATCTCTGGAAAATGTGGAATTTTAGCTGGGTGTGGTGGCACACGCTTGTAATCCCAGCACTCGAGAGGCTGAGGCAAGAGGATCTCTGTGAGTTCAAGGCCAGCCTGAGCTGCATAGTGAGATCCTGTCTTAAAAAAACAAAAAAAAGCGGACCTTTGTATAACTGAACCCCATGAAGGCGCGGTGGTGTCTTTCTCAGGTGTCCTGACAGCATGTGTGGGGAGGGAAGGCAGACCTCCCCTCAGCAGCTGCAGCTTTTGTCAGGGAACCTGCGGGGCTGGTGTGGGGCAGGCTGCAGAGGACACTGCCTGACACTCTCAATTCCCAGTGGGCTCCAGGGAGTGAAAGGAGTCGACCTGAACCCCCAGGTGGCACTGGGATGGGCTCAGCCTTCACGCCAGGACTGGCTGGGGTTAAGATCTGAGGATGGGCACCTGGAACCTGCTGCTTCCTACTGGTGCCCCAGCTCCTGAGCCCCAGGTCCTTGACCAGGGAGGAGGCGGGGGCGGGGGAGACTGACTGACTGGTACCTTGGAGCCGTGCCTGGCCAGGACCTCCCATTCGCCACTGGTCAGCGCAGTCTCCTCCTTGATCGGGCATTTAAATTCATCTGGAAGGAGAAAAGAAGAGGTGAAGGGGGCCGGGGATTTAGCTCAGTGGTTCCGCCACCTGCCTTGCAAGTGAAAGGTCCCGAGTTCGATTCCCGGTACCAAAAAAAAAAAAAGAAGAGGTGAAAGGAAGCAAGGAGCCAATGTGGGGACCCAAAAGGCTGGAGGCCACACTCCACCCTAACGTCTAAGGAAAAGCTCCTGGTGCTTGGCAGGGGTGGTCAAACCATCCCGGCAACCGCAGGCCACAGCACAGAGCTCAGGGAGGCTCTGCCTAGAGGGGCTCGCCCTGCCAGCTGTGCCAACCCCAAGGGCCGGCCAAGATCACAGCGCAAGGAGACGGCCGCGTCTTGGCTCCCATTTCACCTGGCCCCTCGGGAGCCTGGGGCTCAGCTCACTCCTGATGCCCCCTCTCCCACACCCCTGGATGCCGCCCACACTTGCTCCCTGTCCTGTGTGGCTGGCTGCCTTGGGTCACTTGTGGGCACTGCCTCTGAACTGTGGGGCTCTGGCCCCAGGGAGCCCTGGTGTCTAGGGCAGCCGTGGCCGTCACGCTGGGGAGCTGCTGGCATGGAGCAGCTGGAGGCTGGGATGCTGCTCAGCACCCTGCAGTGCCCCGGACACCCCGAGCACAGCGGGGCCAGGGAGGTCCTGTCCCGACTCTGCAGGCCCCTGGCCGGTGCCCGGACCACACAGCCACGCAGGCTACACCCTGTGCCTCTGGCTGTGAGATGCCCACACTTCCCGGGCCTATGCTCTGCTCCCAGTCCTGGGGCCATTGCTGATCCCCACACCCCCTCTGCCATGGAGCACCCTGATTCTACACGTCCAACAGCCAAGCCTGGGGTTCCTTTTCTCTCTCAATGGTCCCCGAGGGTTCCTGTTCCAGTCTTCACCCCAGAACCTCCTGGGCGCCCACACTGCCTCTCCCCATGGATCTAGCACCGATTCCCTTGCAGACGGCACATGCACAGCAACACCCCAGGCTCACTGCTGTGAGCCGCTCACCTCTCCACTCCCCCTGGCCTGAGTGCCACATGAAAACCAGGAGTCATTTAGAACCCATGAAAGACTGATGACTTCCGCTTCCTTCAGGGCCAAAGCCCAAGTCCTCCCTGTAGCCCACAGGGCCCTGAACAACCTGCCCATCCCTTCCCTGCCTCCCTCTACTCTACCCACACAGGAGCCTCACTGCTCCTGCACCAAACTGGCTCCATCCTGCCCCAGGGCCTTTGCACAGCTGTGCCATGGTCCTCCTATTGCTTCTCCAGGTCATTGCCCTCCAACTTGCTATCCAGTCTCCTGATGCTTGTTCTGGAAGAAACCGTGGGATCTCTGACCCCTCCCTCCTCATCCCACACTCCAGGACAGTATCTGTTCCCAGAGCATCCCTTCTCCTCCACTAGAACCCTCCGTAAGACCAGGGTAACACTGGCCTCTTTCTGCCACTCCAACCTTGCATCCAGAGCAGGGGTCAGGAGCCCAAGGGTAACTCTCACCACTCGCCTCTGCCTTGGAGCACAAAGCAGCACTGGGCACCTGTAGACGAGCACAGTCCTGTGCCAATACAGCATTGTGTGGGAGGATGGGAGCAGGGCTGTGGTTTGCAGAGCCCTGGTTGTGCAAAGGGCCTGGGGCACAGTGAGTGCTCAGGGGGCCCGCTGATGGGGTCCATGCTGCACTCCCTCTTGCGAGCCCCTGGTCTCTCTGTGGGCGCTCACCTTCCCCAGGGCTGAGGGGTTCTGTCCAGTTGTAGCTGTTGGGTCTCAGGAGGACAGTGACTTTGTACAGGTGGCAGAAGCCGGTCTTACACTCGTTGGCCCGGAGGAAGCAGAACTCCTCAGACCCCTCGGACTGGGGGAAGGGGTAGAAGATGTCGTGGACCTGGGGAGCACCAGAGGAGGCGGGTCAGGAGGGGATGCCCAGCCCTTCGGCCGTCGTGTCCTGCCCCGCGGGGACCAGGACGCACACACCCCGCCCCTACTCACATTGACCCAGACGCTGGTGACCTCCTCGTACACCACGTGTGGCTGGGCACTCTTGGGGACGGTCCTGGCGAAGGCCAGCCGCTGCTCCTCGCTCTCAGGGGCCGGGATGAACAGGGCTGGGGGCAGGAGCACGAGCTGGAGCCGCTGCTGTGGCCGGTCCAGGAACGTGGCCCAGGCGCTGGGGACACGGCGAGATGTCACCCTCACTGAGGGCTCTGGAAACTGCGTCCCACGTGCCCAGGGTCTGGGCAGTGTGCCGACAACTCCTCAGCCCATGGGTACCCATTATTTTTAGGGTACTGGAGATGGAACCCAGGGCCTTCACACTGAGCTACATCCCCAATCCTGTTCATTTTGTTTTCAGCTAAGTCACTACATTGTCCAGAATGAGCCTGAACTTGCAATCCTCCCGACTCAGCCTCCCAGAATACTGGGGTGACAGTCCTATGCCACTGCACTTAGCTGAGTGGAAAACATTTTAACTTGTTTGTCTCGAGCACCAGGTCAGTACCGTAAGTACAAAAGCACTCCTGCACAGAGAGTGAGCAACAGACAGTGAGAAAGAAGCATCAGAGAGGCCCGAGTCCCAGACGGGGCCCGTGGTGCTGAGCCTGCCCCCACTGGAAAGGGGCTAGAAAACGCCAGGCAGGGAAAGCACACATTTTCAGGAAGCCAGGGCCACAGAGGACACGTTTTTGGCTCTGTGGTCCACATGGCAGCTTTCAGTGACTCAGCTCTGCCCTCGTACCGTGAACGTACCACAGGCCGTCAGGGCACACACGTGCAGGGCTGGTACCCTCAGCCTTCAGGGTGGGGCAGGAAGGTGTGAACTCCCTATGCTTCACGTGTGAGAGGATCTTCTTTCCCGAGCCCTCTCCTGCCCCACCTGTCATTCAGGGTCATCACACCAATCAGCTGGGCGTGGTGGTGTACCTGTCATCCCAGCACGGGGAGGCTGAGGCAGGAGGATCACCCTGAGTGAGTGCCTGTCTCAAAAACAAAAACAAAAATCCCCCCAAACCTGTGAAAGCTACTCTGAGTTTCTGGCCTGTATGAGGAAAGATGAGGGCTGGGCATGGAGCTGGGGTTGGGCCCTGGAATGAGATGTTTCTTGTTTCTTACAGCCTGGGTCTGAGCCATCTGCAAGAACCTCTGCCAGTTTGAACCCCGGTTTGGGAAACATGACAAAAATGTCCTGGGCTGAGGCAGGAGGAGCATTGTGAGTTTGAGGCCGGTCCAGTGTCTTGTCCCTTGCCTGGCTGAGTGTGGGTGACCGGAGGAAGTGGGCCGGCAGAGAACAGAGCCATATTCAGGGGGCTGAAGGGCACAGAGCAGGCAGGTGCAGCATGGGCAGCCCACCCTGTCCCCAGGCCCTGCGAGGGTCCCCCGGCCGTGTCCAAGGAGTCACTCACTACTTGCCGTCGTGCGTCCAGCCAGCCCTGGCGATGTACTCCACCTTGGGGAAGAGCTTGTGGAAGGGCTGCACCAACTCCTTCTCGAAGGAGGACACGATCTGCGGGAGACAGGGCTGTCACACACCGCTGTCCACACTACCATGGCGCTGAGTGGTCCCTGCACCTCAAAATGCAGATGCGGAGATGTGGCCCCGGGACCTCGGGAGGCCACCTGCTTCAGAAGTGCGGCTACTGAAGTGTCTTGGATGGAGATAAGGTCATGTGGGCAGGGTGGACCCGAATCAGGCACCGGCCATCCTTCTAAGGGGAAGCTGGGGACAGAGGCAGCATGGCAGGTGGGCAGCGGAGACAGAGGAGGGCCGTCTACAGCCTGAGAAGAGGCAGGATGCTCTCCCACCTGGCCCTGGGAAAACCTCACCTGAAGGGGACACCTTGACCTTGGACTTCTGGCCTCCAGAACTGTGAGACAAGAACAGGAGAGGCCTTGTCTGCAGCCCTTGGCTACAGTGGCCCTAGCGGACTGCGACAGTCACTCCGCAGGAGTTAAACAGTGCAAAAGAGCTGAGTATGGTAGCATACGCCTGTCACCCCAGCTACTTGGGAGGCTGAGGCGGGAGGACTCCAAATAGATTCAAGCCCAGCCTGGGCAACTTAGCGAGACCCTGTCTCAAGACAAAAAAAAGCCACTGGTGTGGCTCAGTGTTCAGAGCGCTTTCTCATCATGGCATGGGAAAGGCCCTGGGTTCCATCCTCAGTATCACCAAAAAAAAAAAAAAAAAAAAAAAAAAAAAAAGTAAAAAGAATCCAGGAGGAGGTTCAGGGAGGGGGGTACGCATGTCAAAAATAAAACCCAACCGCCCAAACTATCAAAACACACATATTTATCTCACATTTCCCCTGAAACGTTGTGCAGACATCATTCCACAAAGCCATGCTGGGGTGTCCTTGGCCTGTCTGTGCTCTTGTTCCTAAACATGTAGGGTCCTCTGGACACCTGGTGTCCCCCCACCTGGGAGCAACCCCCAGCATGGCTGCCCAGCCTCCGGCATCCTCTGCGTCTTAGGGTTTGCAGGGTCTGGGGAGCGATCAGGGGCCCCAGGGAGGGCAGGCCAGGCGGAGGGAAGTAGGGGAAGGGCTGGGAGGTTGCGTCACAGGATCTATCTGGAGGTGACCATGCAGTTCCCAGACAATGATGTCTTTTGCTCCCTGCCACCACTCCGTGGCATTGGGGCCCAAACAGCAACTTCCTGAGTGGTGAGCACCTGGTACTCAATGCCAGCGAGGAACAGAGAGGCACCCAGAACCCGCCTGTGCCATGGAGCAGGGAAGTGACCTGTGAGGACCTGCGCAAGACGCTGGATGGGGACTATGCTGAGTCTGCAGGTCCCCACCCTGGAGCTTCCCTGCCCAGGCTGCTGATGGCAGCTGTGTCCTGGGGCAGGAGGCAGCATGGACCCCAGCCCCACCGCCCACCAGCTGGGGCCACTACATCTGCCAGCCTCTTGGGCCGTATAGGCACCCGTACCTTGCCCTCACTGTCGGTCTGGAACTCGGCCAACTTCAAGGCGATTTTGGGATTCTTGCTGCCTGTGAAAGTGAAAGGGAGCTGAGCGCCCACCTGGATGGTGCCACATGCCAGCATGTTCAGGGATGCTGGGTGGCCACAGGAGGTGGCCCAGCTAGGGTGGGGGGAGGCTGAGTATCCAACGGTCCATTTGCAGGTGTATCCCCTCCCTGGCATGGGCGCAAAGTCCACAGCCAGGGACTTTCAGACTTAGGACTGGGACTACATCCTGACAGGGATGTGACAACTGGTTTTACTGCCTAAGGGTACAGGCCAGAAGCTGGGCGGTGTGGCGCACGCCCGTCACCCCAGCACTCAGGAGGCTGAGCCAGGAAGAATGCAAGTTCCAGCCTAGCCAGGCAACTCACTGACTCAGCGAGGCTGTCTCAGATTAAAAAATAAAGAGGGAGGCCGGGGGTTTAGCTCAGTGGTTCTGCCACCTGCCTCGCAAGCTCAAGGACCCGAGTTCGATCCCTGGTACCAAAATAAATACATAAATAAATAAATAAATAAAGAGGGAGCCTGGGATTTAGCTCAGTGGTTCCGCCACCTGCCTCACAAGCACAAGGTCCCCAGTTTGAGCCCCAGTACCAAAAAAAATAAAAATAAATAAAGAGGGCTGTGGATGCAGCTCAGTGTAAAGGCCTGGGATTAATCCCTAGTACTCCCAACAAAAACAACAACAACAACAACACCACTACACATGTCTACAGTGGCCAGAAAGCAAGGGAGAAGCCAGGGCAGACAGCACATGAAGCCAGAAAAAGGATGAGAACAGGATGGGCACTTGGTAAGGTGAACACCAGGGTCCTGCCTGGCTGTCAGGACTGACAAACTATGGTCCAAGGGCCACCTCTCCCCTGCTTCCCATTTTGGGATGGCTAAGATCCTTTTTAAATGGTTTTAAAAAGACCCCCCAAAAATCGCTTCTTGGCCTTTTGGCTAAGATCAAGTGTAAAAACCCAAAAAACAGGTTGAAAGAAGAATGCTATTTCTGTGTAATGTGACTGCAACGTGCAATTATTTACAATGCAAATGTCAATAAGGGCTTTTTTTTTTTTTTTTGGTACCAGTGATCGAACTTTTTGTCTTTTTTTTAAAGGGATCTGGTTAAGTTTCCTAGGTTGGGCCAAATGTTTTTTGTTGTTGTCATTCTGTTTTGTTTTGGTTTTTTTGGTACCAGGGATCAAACTCAGGACCTTGTGCTTTCGAGAGCTAAATCTCCAGCCCTGTTCTATTTTGTTTTCTGACACAGGGTCTTGCTGTATACCGTAGTTCAGACTGGCCTCAAGCTCATGGTGATCCTCCTGCCTCAGCTTCCCAAGTAGCTAGGTGACAGGCAAGGACGAACACGCCTGGCTAACTTTCAGGAAAATTTACTGGCCGCCAACCACACACATTCAGGGTGCTGCATCTGGGGTGCACTGGTTCTATGAAGGCAAAGTAGGGCAGCTGGGACCGAGACCCCGCCCTGACAGAGAGATTCTGCCCCCATCCTGTCGGGCGGGGCTGGCAGATCTCTGGAGGCCTTGCTAGGCCAGCAGGAAGGTGGAAGCCTCTGCTGTTCCTGGGCTCACCTGTCCTGGGGTACCGGTAGGAGTCCGTCTTCCGCTCCTCCAGCGCAGGGGAAGGGACGTGGATGACCTCCACGTCGGACTCATCTACCTCCTCGTACAGGATCCGCAGTGTCTTGAGGCCTTTGGAGCCTGCGGGGAGGACAGGCTGCTGAGGGGCTGGGCTGTGGGGGTGATGCTAAACCTGTCACTTCTTTGGCCGGTTCGTGCACCAGGAATGACAGCACCCGTCCCAGCACATGGCCCAGAAGGTGCCCACAGGGTGTGACGGGTCAAGCGATGTCCCCTACAAATCATGTGGTGTTGCCTGACCCCAGAATGTGCTTGCATTTACCAGCAGAGTCTGTTTTTTTTTTGGTACCGGGGATCAAACTTGGGTCCTTGAGCTTGTGCAGCAGGCAGCGAAACCACTGAGCTAAATCCCTGGCAACAAGCAGAGTCTTTAAAGAAGTGATTAAGGTAAAATGAGGTCATAGGCTGGGCCCCAGCCCGAGGTGATTCCGGTCCTTATAAAAAGAAATCAGTCAGGCATGGGGAGTGGTACAGGTCTATGACCTCAGCTATCTGGAAGGCTGAGTCAGGAGGATCTCAAGTTTAAACCCAGCCTTGACAATTCAGAGGGGCCTTGTCTCAGAATAAAATTTTTAAAAGGGCTAGGAACATATCCCAATGGTAGCCAAGGAGCGAGGCCTCAGGAGGAACTTGCCCTGCCTGCTCCCGGCTCTTAGACTTCCAGTTTTGGTTTTTTGTTTGTTTGTTTGTTTTTTTGGTGCCAGGGGATCGAACTCAGGACCTTGCACTTGTGAGGCAGGAGGCAGAACCACTGAGCTAAATTCCCGGCCCACTTCCAGCTTCTGGACTGAAGGAACAATACATTTCCGTGGCCCAAGTCACCCAGACAGTGGTGGTTTGTCACCACAGCACCACGGAGAGATGAGGCACAGGCAAGAAGGAGTACAATAAAACTGTCACGAAATAGGCCAGGCTGGGGTATGGCCCAGTGGTATTCCGTGGCCTTGGGTCCAGTCATAGCACACACACATACAAAAAAAGGTAAAAGAAAAATGAAGGAAAAGGGAAGGAAGGGAGAAGGAAGGAAGGAAGATGGAAGGAGGGGAAGAAAGGAGGACGCATCATGAGCCACAGCCAAATCCCCGGGTAGCAACGGCTTGGAAGGAGCCCAGCACCCGGCCATGCTGGCGCCCTGGGGACAAGGCCCCCGCCCCTAGTGTCACTGCTGCCTGCAGCCACGCTGTGGGCCCAGGTGGAGGGAGGCCAGATGCTCTCCTAGGTCTGTGCCCATCCCAAGTATGTCCAAGGACACAACAGGCAGCAGGGCCAACCACACTGGGCAGGGCTCTGTGCTACACTGAGCCCCAGGCTCCTTCCTGTGACCTCAGAGGGAGGGGACCCACCTTCCCAGGAGGCCGTGGGGCACCACCAGCAGCCGGTGAAGCGGTCAAACTCCTCCTGGATGACGAAGGTGGCCACACCCGCAGACTTGGGGTCATCCAGGACATTGGGTAACCCTGGGAGGAGAAGGCGTGTGCTGAAAACGGGCAGGAGGGTGTGGGAGCAGAGGTGACTGGGTGTGTGACCATGGTGGCCGGGGGGCCCTGACTGGGCAATTTCCACAGAGAAAGGTCAAGGACCACACAGAGAGCAGCCACTGGGCCTCACCCTTGTGGCAGAAGGTGAGGCGCCGCTCCTCGCCTGTCTCAATGTTGGCCACCCACACGTCACTGTTGTTGATGAAGGAAAAGAAGGCAGGGTCAGCGGGGCAGATCTTGGGGTCCATCCGGGGCCCTGAGCACTGGGTCTTGATCTCCAGTGGCTTCATGGGGGTTACCTGAGGGCAGAGAGGCCAGGCTCAGGGGCAAGCCCTGTCCCACCCATGCAGTCCCCACCCCGAGTCCCCACGTCCCTGGGGCGCACCATGAAGCCGTTCTTGCCCCCGTCACGGCAGTGGAAGAGGCTGTTGTTGGCCTGGAACAGGAAAAGGCCACTGGCGCTGTGGAAGTCGTAGGAGGTGATGCCAAAGACGCCCAGGCGCTTGCGCTCCCGCAGCAGCTCCTCCTCCCGGGAGTAGACCCCGTGGTGGGGGGTGGCCTGGGGACACACAGGCATGTCAGCAGCACGACTCAGACCCCCCCCCCCACAGGCTCTGCTCCCCCAGCCTTCTACCTCCCGGCTCCGAGAGCTGCAGGAGCGGTGGACGGAGGGGGTGCAGCAGGGCCATTGGGGTGTAAAGGCCCTGGCATGGCAGCGCTGCTTGGTGACCAGTGTGGCAAGTGGCAGGGCATTCCAGGGCCATCCAGAAGATTCTACAGCATCTCTCCCAACAGCCACCTGTGCTCCCAGCCCCTTCTTGCTGACAGCAGCCAATCCAAAGGCAACTCTACACATTCCTCCTTAATGCAAAGGGCAAAGTCCAGACTCCCTGACCACCCTTCACCTGTCCCCTGGGGATCCAGGCAGCCATAGAATTCTGAAGACGAGGGGATGCAGGAACACAAGGGAGACCACATGCATGTGTTGTCTGCTTGTGGTTTTTCTGCAGTGCTAGGTATTGAACCCATGCCCTTTGCACTGAGCTACATCCATTCCTTTTTAAAAATTTTGAGTCTCACCAAGTCACTAAGTTGCCTGGGTTGTGCTCAAAGTTTTGATCCTCCTGCCTCAGCCTCCCAGAGTGCTGGGATGACAGGCAAGGGCCACCACACAGCCTCCACATGCATTTTTTTTTGGTACCAGGGATCGAACTCGGGACCTTGTGCTTTCGAGGCAGGCGCCGGAACCACTGAGGTAAATCCTCAGCCCCTCCACATGCATTTTTAGTATATGTGCTGCCGAAGCAAGCACATCCACATGCATTTTTAAAAAGGAGAACAGGGCCAGGGATTTAGCTCAGTGGTTTCGCCACCTGCTGCGCAAGTGCAAGGACCTGAGTTCAATCCCCGGTACCAAACTAACTAACTAACTAACTAACTAAAAATAAAAAAGGAGAACAGAGCTGAGGCTGTAGCTCAGTGGTGAGCATTTGTCACTCATGTGTGAGGTCCTGGGTTCCAGCCCCTGCACTGCAAAAGTTTTAATAAAGGAGACCCAAGGCAGCATTACCTCACCCTGTGCAGAAAGCTACATAAGCATGGGCTGCTCCATGGGGACCAAGAGGGACAGGCCACAGTGAGAGTGCTGGACTGTGTGGGGAGAGTCAGCATGTACCATGCTCACAACCCACAAGCAACAAAACGCACCCATGCAAAAGGCACTTTTCCCTCACCAGGGCTGGCGTGACATGGGTGACATTAATCATTAGCCCAGCTCCACAGCAGTTCCAGCTTCCTGGACAAGCACATAGGGAGCAGAGATGCTGCTGCGGTAGGAGCTCTGCTCGGGGTCCTGGGGCAAAGCAGAGCCCCTCCTGGCATCGCGTGCCCTGGGCCCAGCCTTCGCGGGCAGGCCCTGCTCACCTGGAAATGGTCCAGCATCTGCTTCCAGGACAGTAGCAGCAGGGCCTCCTTGCGGACCTTCTTGGGGATCTCAGAGTAGAGCAGCGAGTTCTCCCGGCTTCCATAAGGCATCCCTGGGGAAAATGGGAAAAGCTGGACTGGACTCCTGCCAACCAGATAGGGGGCTCAACACTGGCAGCCTCGAGTCACACCTCTGGCTCAGGAGGCCAGGGCCCGCCGATCCCGATGGGTCATTCTACCAGGCTGCTGGCAACACACCTAGCCCCAGAGAGCCTGAGACCCAGGGTCTCATTATTGTGGTGACCAGGTCTCCCATCTGGGTCATTTCTGCTGAGCGCTTAGTTATGGGGAAACAGCTCAGGGGAGAACAAGAGAGAGGTCGCGGTGCCCATCCCCAAGCGAGGTGCAGCTCCTGAAGTCCCCGCTATGGCAAAGGCCCAGGGGAAAGCTGATCTGGGGTTGCATGAAGGGGGAGCGTGCATCTAACACTGTGGGCACCTGGGGCACAGTGGTCTCTGGGGTGGGCATCCCCAGATTCCACCCGCTCCCAGGAGCTGGTGACAAACACAGATGTCCCCAGATATTGCAGAATCTCCACAATGGTGAGAACCACTGAACCAGTCTAACTTTCCCAGGACAGCAGAAGCAGCAGCTGCGGGGTGAGATCTTGTGCAGATTAAAGGAGGCTCGAAGCATAAAAGCTCAGTGGAGGACAGGTACCACCCGGGGGACCTGCACGGCTTATCAGGAAGCTGTGGGTTTCACACATTCATCTCTGAGGTCAGCCTGGGGCTTCCTGTCGGAGATGCTGCCCTGTTCTTGGTAGCAGATACAACAATCACCCCTCAGTACATGTAGGGGCTGATTTCAGGTCCCCCAGATACCAGGCTCCACGGATGCTCAAGTCCCTTATATAAAATGACACAGTAGCTGGGCATAGGGATGCACATCTATCATCCCAGCACTTCGGAGGCTGAGGCAGAAGGATTGCAAGTTCAAGGCCAGCCTAGGCAACGTAGCCATTTACTGAGACCCTGTCTAGAAGAAAAAGAAGAAATGCATAGTATTTTGAACCTGCACATATCCTCCTGTGGCCTTTAAATCTTAGCTGATACAATGTGCTCCCGAGCTGCTGGTGCACCACTGTTACACTATGTCATTTAGGGAAATGGCAGCAAGGGAAAAAGTATACATTTGGTGTGGACACAGTCTTCTCCTGAGTATCTCTGACCCCCACCTGATGGGACCTGTGGTGGGCCGAGTGAGGCCAGTTAGATCTGCCGATGTGGAGCCTGCAGACACTGAGTGCCGGCAGCAATCGTGGCCCTTTTCACCAGCAGTGTCTTAGATCTGACAGGTGACAGTGCCGTGTTTATTGCTGAGGTGAGCAGCAGAAGCTGGATGACAATTTCCAGCATGCCTCAGTTTCCCTATTCTGTGCAACGAGCTTGGGGGATAGTACATGACTCCTCTAAGGGAATAACCCTGTGGGCAGCACATGGGATGATAGGACTTATAGGATGCTCAAAACCTATTGTATTTTTATTTAGAGACAAGATCTTGCTATGTAGTTCAGGCTGCTCCTGAGCTCACTACATGGCCCAGGCTGGCCTTGAACTCACAGTGATCCTCCTGCCTCAGCCTCCCAAGTGCTGGGATGACAGGCATGCATCACCACATCCAGCTACTTTGCTTTTATTTTTAAACTTTTTGTTTTGTGATACTAAAGACTGAACCCAAGGCCTTGGCACTGAACTACAACCCCAGTCCTTATTTTCTGTTTTTATTTGAGTCAGGGTCTCACTAAGTTGCTCAGGCTGAGCTTGAACTTGCAATCCTTCTGCCTCAGCTTCTGAGTGCCCCATTCAGGCTTAATTTTTTAGGGTGCTGGGGAATGAACCTGCGGTCTCAAGCACTCTAGGCAAGTAGTCCGCCACTAAGCCACCTCTAGCTTTGTTCCTCTTTTAAGCCTCACTTGGGGACAGCCAGGCTACAGGGATGTGAACAGCCAGGGGTTCCAAACAGGGAGTGGAAGGCACGGCCCTGCCAAGGACATCAGAGCCAGCGCTGCTGATTAATCAGTGATCACACCAAGAGGGCGAGCCAGCACATTCCTGGACAGGCTGCTGCTGGCACCCGCGCCCATGATGCCTGGCATGGGGCGGAGGGTGGAGGTGGCCGCTTCCCTCCTCTGGCTTCTTTCTCTCCCTGCTCTGCCCTCCTCACACACACGCTGCCTGCCTTCACCCACTCTCCAGCCACAGGTGTGTTGGGTGTTCAGGGCCTGTGCCAGCACCACACCCAGTCCACACATAGCGTGGCCTTGGTGGCCGGGCTCTCCCCGGGATCTCAATGCGGACACAGGAGCCAAGGGCCTTCGATTTTCCTTCTCAGGTCTTGGAGCTGTCCAGGATCTGCTGCCTCCCCGACTTGGCGGCAGGGACAGAACCAAGTCGGGCCTTCCCCCACACTGGCTACCAAGTCCTGCCCCGGAGCAGCTCCCACCCATCCCGTGCTGGGGTGGCCACTCTCTCCACTGCCCCTCCAACCACCACTGGGCTCCATCCCTCGGATCCAGGAGCCCTCCCAGAGGATGCCGGTGACAAGCAGCATGGGAGACAGAAGGGTCTGGGGTGGCAGATCGCATACTCAGAGTGGTGGTGGAACTGGCGCCTGGAATTGCTGGTGCGACACTAGCCCAGACACCAGCCAGCACCAAGATGAACAAATACCCAGGCTGTGGGAAAACCTGCTCAAGAACTCGAGTGTGAATTCAAGACAGTGCTACCTGCATCATATCAGGCAACAAGGTCAGGACCATTGAAGGGTGACCATCACCTGGAAAGACAGCACAGCTCTGGGCTGCTCTGTGTACCTTTCGGGGGTCTGCCACGAACACACCTTTGTCTAGAGTCAACCCCCATCCACTAGGGAGGTCCTGCAGAGGATCTGCCCACCCCCTTCCCAACACACCCAGGCTCCAGCTGATTGTACCATCTTATGCTGAGCCAGTCCAAGTCCTTCTTAAAACTGGGAGAAAGAACATGAGGATCCACCCATCCTGTCCAGGCCACAGCTGATTGAACCACCTGACCTCTGCGGAGCCAAACTGATTTCTTCTGGAAATCTGGGGAAAGCCTGGAAAGACCCACCCAACCTTTCCAGACATGCTCAGGCCAAGGCCGACTGGACTATCTGACTTATGCTGAGCCAATCTGATTCCTTTTCTGGGAAACCTGGAGAAGGTGCTTCCATCTCTCCAGGTTGCTCCAACCTCTGCTTCCTGAGGCTGGTGGGCTTTCCACCCCGGTTCCTGGCGCTGCCCCTACCCCATGTCTCTACCACAAGGCTCCACCTCATGGCTCACACTACGCTGGGGTTCTGTGTAGGCTGAAAGAACAGTGGCTCCAAAGAGAGACGGCCACATGCTGGAGCTTGGATGTGAATGTCACCATGCAGGCTGAGGTGGGGTTTGTAGATGTGAATAAATTTAAGGCTGGAGCCCAATGTGGTTGGGCGTTCTTAGCTGAGAGAAGCAGGGGCCATTTCAGGTGGAGAGAGAAGGATGCAGCTGTGTGACCACAGAGGCACAGACTGCAGAGATGGGGCTGTAGGAACGCCAGCAGCCACGTGCAACCAGAAGCGGCAGGGGAAGGTTCTGCCCTTGCTCCTCGAAGGGATCCAGGCCCTGCGGCCACTCTGGCTTCAGCCTGGTGCAACTGATCTCATATTCCTGACCTCAGGAACCAAGAGAGAATGAACTTCAGTCACAGGAAGCCACTAAGTGAGCGGCCACTTGTTAGGGCAGGCACAGCATGGTCCCGGGGCAGGATGACACTGGGAATTCAAGGGAGGGGCCAGAAGTTGTTTGGAAGACAGAAGGGGTCAGGGGCCACGAAACTGCAAGGAAGTCCAGGACAGGCCATGGCGCGCTGGCGTCCTGCTCTAGGACACTTCCTGCCCTACTGGCCCCCTCTTCTGGGTGAGGAAACCCGAGGTTTTTCCAGTCCTGATTTCTTCCAGGCCAGTTCGAGCACACACTTCACACAGGGCCAGGTGCGGTGGCCGGCTCTGCCACTGAACCATGTGGCGTGGCTGTGCTGCTGCTCCAGCTCTCAAGGCCCTTTCCTGATGCCTGGGCACCTGGGCGCCATGCCTGCATCTGCCAGCCCTTTCTCCAGCACTCCCGTTTAATTCTGTGCTCGCCACACACGGCCACCTGCTGTCCACGCAGGCCCATCACTGCAGAAGGACCTCAGGAAGAGGACGGCTGCCTGGTGTCCACCTTGGGCTGTGTCACTGGGATGCTGTCAGCCTTGGGCAGAAGGTGGAATTAATTCACTTGCTCCCTCATTCATTCAGATATCACCCGAGGGCCTGGGCACCTGCAGGCACGGTCTCTGAGGCTCAGGCCCCACGGCCGGCTGAGTGGAAGACAGGGAACCGGCTTGGAGAGTAATTCCAGGGCTTCCTTATCCCCAGCAGTGCTCCTCACAGGGGGACGACTCTCCCCCAGGGAACACAGGGTGATGTCTGGGGACTCATGTGGTTGTCACACCTTGGAGGGCTCCTGGCATAGAGTGGGTGGAGGCCAGGGACGCTGCTCAGCACCTACAGTGCTCAGGACGCCCACCCTAGAGAACGACCCGGTCCCAGCGTCCCCAGCAGTAAGACTGAGAAGCTCGGCCTCTGGTCGGGAGCCACACAGCACCTGCTTTCAAAGGACCAGGCCTGGCTGAGTCCTACAAGGCCTCTTCCTCTCGGCTCTTCCTACTCCTCTAGAGGAAGTAGGGCAGCACCCACATGCTCCAGTTCCTTCCTGTCCACCTGCTGGGGCACAGGCTGTGGGCTGGCTGCAGAGGGCGGCAGGAGCCCAGGAGGCCTGGTCCCTGCCCTCAGGTGCTGGTGGCCCAGCAGGGACACAGGCCCATCACCAGCTACAGATGTCAGAAGTGTCACACACAAGGAGCACGCAAGAGGAGGGCATGACTGGCACTGGGCATGCTCCCCAGGGCTGTGGGACAGGGGTAGGGAACATGCGTCACGCCATCCTGGCGGTCGGCCCATGCAATCACACACCCCGGGCCTCGCCTCGAGCCTTCTCAATGCCTCATTCCATGGTGAGTCCCACTGGTGTCCATGTCACTCCTGCTGGGAGCCTGAGAGCCACCGGCTAGGGAGAGGAACTGTTCTGGAAATAACCTCCAGGCTCCTAACCCCTGTCCAGTGCCGGCTGAGCAGCTGGCCCCCATCGGAGGCACCCGTCCTTGTCCCCCGAGAGCCTGGCCAGGCCCTCACAGTGACTGGGAGGCTCATGTGGGTGGCTGGGCCCGGCGGGACCAAGCTGCCCTTCCGCTCGCAGGTGAGCTTACCCAGGTAGTACAGGCGGTGGGAGTGGGGGCCGGCTTCGTCCGTCTTCTGCACGAACTGGAAGTCATGTGGGGCCTTGTTGACGATGAGGCCCGAGTACTTGCGGCTGCCGTGGATGATGCTCCGCAGCCCATCCCATGAGTGCTTCGGCACCTGGAAGCGGGAGGCTGGGTCGTCCATGTCACCCACAGTGGCCCGCTCCGCCGGTGGGGCCTCCACCGACATCCTCTCTCCCTCAGGATGCAGTGACAAGCTACAGAGGGAGCGGGCAGGGGAGGGTGAGAAGGGCAAGCACGCCACGCTCATGCTGCTCCCCAGCCACCCTTGGCCTGCTGAGGCTCAGGGGGTCCGCTTCTCCCCAGGTCACCCAGGCCTCTGACTAAAACGGACTCCTGCCTGGATCCCCCGTCTCCACTGCGAATCTCTCCTCTGAAACTCTTCCTGGTGTTCCACAGCCCCGGGATAGAAGCCAGCGCTCCATGCTGGGGGTGCAGCTTGCCTAGCAACCGTGAGGCCCTGGGTTCCATGCCGAGCTCCACCAGACAGAAACGAAACAAAACAGAACTGACCACAGCCTTCAAGGCTGTCCTCTTGAATTCCAATCCCTTTCATCACTGCGCCCAGGGGAATTAGCCTCCCACCCACCCCAGGGCCTTTGCATGTCCTATCACCTCTGGCTGGAACACTTTCTTCCTCTCTTTGCTTGGCTTGTTCTACAGACTCAGCTTACTTATTTAGCAGGTCCTCAGAAACCTTCCTTGCCAACCTGATGCCACCTGCCTGCCCCTCCCTTTAATATGTGTCACCATGGTTACTTGTTGAACACCCATGTCCCCCACATCTGTCCCATGCATGGTTATGTCCCTAAACCCAGACACGAGTCCCTGTACCCTGTGGGCTCTGCTCTGCGGAAGAGCTTCGGAATGAATGTCCCTTGCTGCTCGGTCACGGAACAAAGGCATGAGAGGATGGGTGAAAAGTCACCCTTGTCACCCTGTGGCTGGTTTGCCGTCCAGTGGAGACTCCTGAGCTCACTGCGAGTGCTGGGGTGAGCAGGCACATCTGCTGGGGACGCACCCCAAGTGAGGGTGGCCGCAGACACCCTCCCTCAGGCCTCGCCACTGCCCCTCCCACCACCCACCCCCTCGTGGCCACCAACTGGCCGTGTGCACTGCTTGACTGGACAGGCAGAGCAAATATTTATTTTAAGGAAATCTAAATACCAGGCCACAGTGATCTAGTTCTGGAAACACCAGAGTGGCCGATGAAGAGGGAACCAAGGCCAGCGGAGCAGCACTCTGGGTACCCAGGATGCTCCTGGCCCGGGCTGGGCAATTGAGGGGAGCACAGGACAGAGAGCAGAGGGGCCCTCAACTCTGGCACTGTTCTCAGAGACTTTGCCCCTTGCCAACAAGGGACCCCACAAGGCGACCGGTATGGGCAAAAGGCCCCTGGGCTGCTGGGAGAGGGTGGGAGGCGGGGCCATCAGTGGAGTCAGGGCCTGGGAGCATCTCTCCACCTGGACCCGAGACGTTCTGCTCCACAGAGGGGAAACTGAGGCTGGGAGGCAGAGGGCCTCGCTCCCAGGCACAGCAAGCAAGACAAAGGCATTTGGTGGAGGTGGCCTGGCTCCCTCCAAGGACATGTGACAAGCCCAGCTGAAAAGTCACAGCAGGGCATGCGCTGGAGCCCCAGGGAGGTTCTCACTCGTGTCCCGTGGGAAGGCCCATGGGGCGGGCATGGCAGGATGTTTCAGGCCAGGGCACAGAGGCCTCCAGGCAGCGGGACACACAGACCCATGGGGAAGGGAACCCCTGGCAGGCGGCTTCTGAGCATCCAGCTGCAGGCTGACCTCAGAGGTCCCTTTAGAGCCAACCCCCAACAAAGGACAGGGAGAAATACGCCCCCTCATCCAGGCCCTGGAGGAGGGGGTTCAGGGGACACAGGGAGCCTGTGTGGTCTACCCTCCAGCTAAAGCAACAGGGTTTGTTCAGCTGCACCAAGATGTTCTGAAAGTCACGGGCCAGAGACCATCAGTGACCACAGAGACCTCAGGTCAGATAAGCCAAACCCAGAGAGGCTGGGTGACTTGCTGTGAGTCACACACAGGACGTCCTGGCCCTGACCGGCTGCCACGCTGCAGTTCACCTCAGGCAGTGGGGGTTCATGGGCAGTGGGAGGCCATGGTCCAGGCCCTGAAGAGCACTCAAGACCCACATGTAAAGCAAGGCATGGTAGCACACACCTGTCATCCTAGCACTCGGGAGGCTGAGGCAGGAGGATCATCATGAGTTTGAGGCCAGCCTGAACTACATAGTGAGACCCTGTCTCAAAAACAAACAGACCAAAGAAAACCAAAACAAAGAACCCACTTGGTCCAAGTGCTTCTGGCCACACACCAGAAAACCAAGCCAATTTAAGTACCCTCAAACTGTGCCACCACAATTTAAGCCTTGCTCATGGCAGAAAAGAAAAAAACCTTTAGAACTCCCCACGTGGCCCCAAAGGCACCAAGCAGAAGGACTTTGGAGGTCCCAAGCTTCTTTCCAGAGCAGAGAACCAGAGCGCATTTTCTTGCCTCTCGTCACTACAGAGAGCCCAATAAGCAAAGACAGGATCCAGGAGCCAAGATATGAAATGCGACATCCGGGAACCGTCTAGGAGTCTTCTAGATGCAGCCAGACTCCTCCAGCTCATGCTCATAGGCAGCCTGAGGCAAAGGAGGGGCTGCAGAGAGGCTGAGAAGGGGAAAGGGGACAGGCAAGTTCCACAGGGTCGGCCTGGGCTGCTGCCCCTGCGTCAAGAGTGTACCCAGCTGAGGAGCGCATAGGGGATTCCGAGCCACTTAACCCAGGCCACCTACACTTTCTTCTGGCCAATGGGCAGCACCCTCCCAGCCCTAGATGTCACCCACAAACAGCTTCCAACCATTTGGGACAGGGAGTGGGGACCCTGTCCATGCCGGCACACCCTCCAGGGGTCTGCCGGAAACCTAAGGGGTCCTGGAACACAGGAAACGGCGGATTCCAGGCTCTAGCTCTGCAGGGCCAGGTGAGGGTGGTTTGGAGTGGGGGTGGGGCCTGCCATGCTTTGAATGGGGACAGCACTCCACTCGGGAGCCTCAAGCTGCCCCAAGGCCACCTGGGGCCTCTGCTTTCACAACCAAGCTTTACAGAGTGGGTTTGCAACCTGTGCCCTGCTCCACACTTGGGCACACAAAGACAGGACCAGGGAGCTGATCGCTGCCAGCTGCTCCAGTGCCCCAGTGCCACTTCCTCCCATTCTCCCTGGTCCCCTCCTGCCTCAATCACCCAGGCTTGCTGGAAGGAAAGGTGGGCACTGGTGCCAGGTACCCACAGTCAAGGTGTCAGGGGATGCCCACAGTCTTGGCCCTCAGGCCATGGCCTGGGGTGTGGAACTGATCTCCTGCCCAATCAGTGTAGGACCAAGATGTTTGGTGTTTTTTTTTTTTGTGCTATGGATCGAACTTGGGACCTTGCGGTTGTGAGGCAGGCAGCAGAACCACTGAGCTAAATCCCCAGCCCAAATGCTTTATTTGTTTTGTTTTGTTTTGTTTTTGGTACCGGGGATTGAACTCAGGACCTTGCGCTTGTGAGGCAGTCGGCAGAACCACTGAGCTACATCCCCAGCCCCAAAGACCAAGATGTTAAATTCGCTCCGAGACCTGGGAGGCCAGATCTGGGATCATACTCGTCTTGGGACTGGAAAATGGGCCTAGAGAAGTTGTGTGGGCTACATGGCTTCACACAGGGAGAAAGGAGCGCAGCCCAGTGTGGTGAACTCTGCATCTCACACCCTCGTCACCATGCCTGTGGCCCCTGGTGGGGACCAGCCTGCCCCAGCAGACACCTGCCGCCATCTGAGGACCGCTGTGACCATCCCAACTTGCAGGGGTCTACGACTGGTATCTGTCGGGTCCCCCCACCTAGGACTCTGGTGGCCATTTGGGGCCCCAGGCCACCTCCTGCTCAGTCCTTACCTTCTCCAACTGCCCGTGTTCTCCTTGTCCAGCCGCAGCTTCTTGAGCTTCCGCATTAACCGCTCAGCGGGCCTCGGGAGGGTAGGGGCCTGCGCAGCAGAGAGACCACGCTGCAACTGCGGGTAGGCAGGCGGGGAGGGCGCGCACTGTCCCTCCACCCCTCCCCACCAGGCGTGGCTTGGGGACACCCCAACGCCAAGGCATCCTGAGTCTGCCCTGAAATGGGAGCATGGGCTGGGCCCTGGCCAAAAACCCGCATTCTCTTAGCCAAGTGTTTTCCAAGAAGCCCCTGGGAAGAAAATGTGTCTCTAGCTGGGTGATGCCCTGCACTGCCCCGGGGTCTGCCAGCAGGGAGACCATCACCCCAGGTGGCCCCTTGACTTGGGGACAGGACTGTGAGCCTAAATAAACCACTTTCCTTTATAACTTACAAAAACAAAAAATCCCCTGGACTTTCAAACTGTCTAGGGATGCTACCTGAGGGGCATGTGCTAGAAGCAGCATCCTAACCCCAAACCTCTCCCAGTGGCCACGCTGCGATGGCCTTCATGACCACGACCTCAGGCGCGCTGACCTCCTTGCTCCCCTCAAACACCCACCTCCCGGCTTTTGCACTGGCCGCTCCCTCCGCCGGACGCCCTTCCCAGCTGGCTGTGAGACTCCCTCCTTTTCATCCTCCGGGCCCCAAAGCACCCTTCAGAGGTCTTTCCCGAGCCCTCGATCCAGAGTTGCCACCTGGTCACCCCATCACGACACCTGGACAAGAATGCTGGCCTGGAGGACGATTCTATACAACTCTTCCTCTGCAGGAGAGGGAGGGCCCAACTGGGAATGAATCAGCCCCCAGAGGACACCAGGTGACATCTGGAGACAGTTGTGGTCATTATAACTGGGGGAGCCCCAGGTATGGAGCGGTAGAGGCTGGTGACACTGGCACCCTGTGATGCCCAGGATGCCCCACCCCAGAGAACCATCGGGCCCCAGATGTCCCAGTGACTTTCACCAGGATTCTGCCACACAGTGACAGGGCCCTACCTGTCCAGTTCCCACCATCCTGAGCCCAGAACATTTGTGGCACACAGGACACATGCCATAAATGCTCTAGGTTGAAGATGCAAGTCACCGTCCTCTCCTGAATGCCATCTAAAGTAAAGGGACCCCTGGCTCAGTCACCACCCAGCCACCTTCTGAGAAAAGCTGGGACCAATGCCGGGCAGTTGGCCAGGTGCTTAAAGAGAAAGTAGCACCTGGACACAGGACAGAGATCACAGCGGAAGAGGGAGAGCAAAATGTCACCAAAAGGAAGCACTGGCTGCACTGTCAGCCCAGTGGTGAAAATGGGGGTCCCATGTGACAGTGAGGGGTTCAAATCCCAGCTCTGCCACTTCTGGGGTGTGTGACCTTGGGGAAGCCATCTATCCACTCTGTGTGTCATTTCCCCAGCTATCCAATGGGACTACAGTGAGGATTCGATGAGACGGCACACGCAAATCTTTCATGACACGGCACCTGAGACAGCATAAAATGAGTGACAGCTAACGCTGTCAACTAAACAAGTCATTTAAAATCACGCCTACAGGACACTTGAACTCAAGCCTCTTTCAGAGCCAGAATCCACACCAATCGCTGACCAAGTGCCAGGCACAGTGTTAGATGGGGAGAGGGCGGCCCAGCTTGTCAGGCCTCTTCCCGCTTCCTTCCTGAGGTCCTTAGAGGGGCAACTGAAGAGGACAAAGGGCAGGGGGCAAAAAGCCTTCAGCAAGTACAGTTCTAGACAAGGGCACCAGAAAGCCACTCTCTGTCCACCTCTAGTTTGGAGCAACCTCACCACCCCACACCCCAGATTGCCTGGGCGCCCAACCTCAGCACAACTGACCTTCTAAGGGGTCCAAGGAGCCTCCATTCCAGCCGAAGGCAGAGGACAAACACCTTGATAGGATAAACGTGTCATTAAGGCCTGTAGGACCTAATAATCCTCTCTGGCTAAGCAACAAATACCTGAGGCGCTGTCTGTACACCTAGGTTTGCACCTGGGAGAGAAGTCACCCCAGAGTGCCCAATTCCCCGGGACAGGGAAAGGGACTCCCAGGATTGGTGACTCCCGTCCACATCTCCTGGGGAGAAGTCCTAGCTCCTCGAAAGCAGGTTCATTCTTGCCACAGAGGCAAGTGATTTCCTCAGCGGCCCCAGGGAGACAGGGGAGGGGCAAAGGGCCAGGTCCTTTGGAATGGTCTCCTGCAGCACTGATGGGGAAGCGTCAGGGATGATGGAAGGCGATGTGGGAGAAGGTGGGAGGCTGGGCGCGCCCGGGACCCTAGGCAGGTGGGGCTGAGGATGACGGTGGAGAGGGATGCGGCTCCGGGCAGAGGCAGCATCTGCCTCCTATAGAATTTGCATGGCGAGCTGGAGGGAGATCGGTCCTCCAGGGCCTGCAAAGCGGCGGGAAGGCTGCCAAGGTGTGGAGTGGGGATCGCGATCTTGGGGTGCGGCCACCCCCAAAAGAAGACAGTGCTGGGGGTGGGATGGACGCGAGGCTGGGCCGGGAACAGAAGCTGTCAGCGCAGGGACTGAGATGCAGCAGAAGGGACAAGTGGTAGGGAGAAACCGAGGCATAGAAGGAGGGACCCGCGGGCCGGCCATGGCGGAGGTCGATGGCGGGTCCCGGGGTCGCGGCCGAGGCGGGCCCGGTCAATGGCGGGTTCACGGTCATAAGCGGGGAGGCAAGGGGCGTGCGGGGGCTGCTTACCGGGGCGCGGATGCCAGACTGGGCAGGGCGTCCTGGGGGCCGGCGGCACTTTATGCTCGAGGATCCATGCCCATGACTGCAGCCCGGAAATGGCAGGAGCGGGGGACAGCCGGTGGCGGACACGGGGGAGCCGCCGGCTCAAGCCCCTTTGACCCGGAAGTTGAGCTGCCTAGGCGGCGCACTGTGATTGGACGACGTTAGGACGGTACCAAGACACTACGCCACGGAGGAGGCGACACGTCAGTAGGGCAGGTGTGTGGGCAGCGCCGCGGAAGGCGTTTTCATGGAAAAGAGAGGAATTTTAGGGAGATACACCCCTATGTGATTTGGTTTCGCCCAGTGGAACCGATGAACCTCCTATTAAAGACACCTAGAAAACCACCTCTGCAGAGAGGCGTTGGTGGTATAGTGGTTAGCATAGCTGCCTTCCAAGCAGTTGACCCGGGTTCGATTCCCGGCCAACGCATTCTTTTCGGTTTGTTTTGTTTTGTTTTGCCCTTCAACTAAAGTTTTCTAAGACATGGAGTCAACATTTCTATCTTAGCACTTTACGAGCACTTTAAAAATTGTATAAAACTTCCCAAAGAGGGCCGGGGTTTTAGCTCAGTGGTTCCGGCGCCTGCCTTGCAAGTACGAGGTCCCGAGTTCGATCCCCGGTAAAAAAAAAAAAAAAAAAAATTTCCTAAAGGAAAAAAACCGGGCCGGGGATTTAGCTCAGTGGTTTCGCCGCCTGCTGCTCAAGGGTAAGGACCCAAGTTCGATCCCCGGCACCAAAAAAAACTTCCTAAAGAAAAAAATAAACAGGGCCGGAGATTTAGCTCTGTGGCACAGCGCCTGCCTTGCAATCGCAAGGTCCTGAATTCGAACCCTGGTACCGAGAAAAAATTAAAGCCAGCATCGCTCTGATAGGAACTTTGAAATAATTTTAAATACAGTAGTTTAACAAAATAGAAAAAAATAAGATGTGTTTCCGCCCAGAATCGAACCGTGGACCTTTCCCGTGGGAGGCGAACGTGATAACCGCTACGGACACCCACAGAGACCACACTTCTTTGCACTTTTACAGTGTAGCTATAATGTTGCAGATTGTCACGTTCCCACTTCCTGATGCGAACTTTGAAGACAACTCAGTTGATTTCCGCTAATTCAGAGTACTCATCAGTCTCCTGAATGCAATAGAAACCGAAAGAAAACAGGAAAAAACAAAAACCCGCAAAGCTCCACTAACACAACCCAAGGCCAAAAATCCACCTTTTCGTCGCTTCAACGCATGCATACAGTTTATGCTTAAATACCATCTTTCTGCGCAGATCCAGTTTTCTACAGCACAAATCATTTTCTTAAGGAACTTTCTGAAAAGAACTTTTGTCTGTGGGTGTTTGGACTATAAGTGCAAGAAATTTAAGGGAGGAAAAAAACCCCCAAAAGTAGATAATTAAAACAGCTTTTAGATTATCACCCAGAGCTAATTTGTTAGCATGCTAGATTAGATTAATTTGGTTTTTTTGTCTTTTGGTACCAGGGATTGAACTCTGGACCTTGGGCTTTCGAGGCAGGCACTGGAATCACTGAGCTAAATCCCTGGCCTTGTCTTTTTTTTTTTTTTTAGTAAGAGACAGTAGAAGGGGAGGGAGAAAAAGGCAATAATTTAGGATCCTCCTATTGAAATATCTACTTCCATCTCGAGATGAAGCGACATTGGCCTCAGGTGCAAATATCAACCAATCAATAAATTAGCAATCAAGATAATGTTTTGCAGCAGGGGGGTGGTGGCACACACCTGTAGTTCCAGCACTTCAGAGGCTGAGGCAGGAGGATCTCTGAGCTCAAGGCCAGCCTGAATTTATACAGTGAGACCTTGTCACACACACACACACAAACACACACCATATGTATATATATATATATATATATGATTTTAATGCAATATTATTTTTAAAATAAAAACTGTAAATCATGATAGGTTTTGGCAGTGCCTTCCCAAGCTACATTGGAGCCTGAAGCAACAGTTTAAAAAAATTTTGTTTCGTTTTCTTTACTTGGTTTTTATGTATTTTAATGTTTCTATCCCCCAATGTTGTTTTAAAAATATCAAAATGTCAAAAGCAGGTATATATTAAAACTCACAACATCAAGAATTTATAATTTTATTTTTCTCCCTTTAACAGAAGCGAACCCATCTTTTTGACATTTTCAACATCTGTTTCTGGGGGAAACTTAGTCATTTAAGATGATGTAAAAGTATGCTTGGGGAATGCTCAGTTTGCCTCTAGTCTTGGACTGTACTGTGTCGGGTCAGACCACTGCCACTTAGCAACAAATCACCACATGGGCTGTGTTACATTTCCAACGCTGCTGGAACTAATCCTGAACCGTCACAGATTCCAGAAGTCAGAAGTCTCAGATCTCATGGGCTAGACTCCAGGGCCTGGCAGGCCTGGTTCCTCCTGGAAACTCCAGCGGAAATTTGAATCCTGCCCTTCCCAGCTTCTAGAAATGCCCACTCCCCTGAGCTCATGACCTGGCATCATTCCACCTTACGCTTCTTTTATCACATCTTTTATTACATCTTTGATTGATCTTCGATCAATCGATCAATTGATTTTTGCAGTGCTGGGGATGGAACCGAGGGCTCACACACACTAGGCAAGCACTCTGCTGCTGACCTGCACCCTCAACCCTTTTTATTTTCAGAAAGGGTCTCCCTACGTCGCCAGGGTGATCCTCCTGCGTCAGCCTCCAGAGTGAATTTCCCTTTGAAGGACACCAGTTATACCAGGGTAGGGTCCACCCTTCCCAGCTACTTTTATTTGATTACCTCTGTGAAGACCCTGTTAGCAAATAAGATCATATTCTGGGGTCCTGGGGGGGTTAGGACTCTGAAATATCTTTTAAGGAGAGATAGGCATGATTCAGTTCCTAAGAAAGGGGTTGATCATTGTGTGACCAATTGCTGTGAATTAACCAATCCCCCGTTGTTGGACATTTGTATTACTTTCAATTTTTCTGTTTTGTAAAGGGAGCTGGCCCAGGCATCTTTATTGCTACATTTACAACACAAGGTTGCCCACTGATCTGTTCCTTTGCAACAACAGTTACTGATTTGAATGTGTTGTCCCACTCTGCACTCACCTCTTTCTTTTTTTAATTTTGAGACAGGGTCCTCCTCACTTCCCCGGGCTGGGATGGAACTTGCAATCCTCCTGTCTCACCCTCCTCTGTAGCTTGGGTTACTTTAAACCTCTCCTCCCCAACGTTGGCAACCAGAGACTGCGTCCCTGCCACTTCTGCATGTTCGGAAATAATCACATGTGGGGACTTGTTTGCTAATTTCTCCTCCATGCCTCCCACCAGCCTATAAATTCCACTGGGGAAGTTTTTGTTGCAATTTGTTGCTGGGTCTAGGGTCTATCTTGTATCCTGTGGCTGGCTTGGTGCTGAGTAATGACTGGTGGAAATTAAGTGCAAATGAATACTCGGGGAGATTAATGCCCTGGGGTGGTGGGATGGGAAGGCATAAAGGTGGGTTTCCCCGTGGAGGAGGAGGACTTGGGAGAATCGGATACCTCCCCAGTAAGAACATCACCGCCTGAGAGCTCTCTTATCTGCCAACAAACAAACCCAAAGCCAAAAACACTCCTTTTAAGGGGACTGCCAGGTGTAGTGGTGCATGCCTGTAATCCCAGTACTCGCGAGGCTGAGGCAGGTGGATCGTTGCGAGTTCGAGGCCAGCCTGGGCTACATCGTTTGAGTTCAAGGCCTGCGTGAACTACATAGTGAGCCCCTGTCTCAAAATAAAACAAAACAGTTTATGGGGGGCGAGGGCTGGGGTGTTGCTCAGTGGTAAAACTGTACTTAAGATGCGTGAGGTCCCGGGTTGCATTCCCACCAACACGCACACGCACACTCAGCCAACGTTCTGTGTGATTCGAGGCCAGGGGCTCCACTCTCTGGGCCCACTTTCCCCTGCGTGAAGTTGGGAGGTGTCCGAGGCCGGCTCTATGTCCTGCGAGACGAACCCTGGCCGAAAGGGACATAACTGTGTCCCCCACTAGAGGGCAGCATCGGCACAGCCGGCTTCGTCTGGGGTTAGCTCCTCGACCCCTCGAGGCCGCCGGACACCCTAGCCTCCTTCCTAGCCTCGGTCCAGACCCTGGACCTCAGCATCTCACAGGCTGACCTGGCCTCTCCCCGAAACGCACTCCTGGATTCACAGACGCGTCCTTGTCCCCAAGTGGGCCTTCCCAGCCAGCAGGTTTGATTCCACCTGGGGTCTGACCATTGTATCCAGCCGACCTCAGCTAGGATTCAGGGAGGAAAAGGGAAATCAAAAAACCCGGGTGCAGTGGCACATGACTGCAATCCCAGGTTCTCGGGAAGCTGAGGCAGGAGGGCCGCAAGTTGTAGCCAGCCTGGGGAACTTACTTAGCCAGTCTCAAATCAGTTAAGAGAGGTGTGGATGGAGCTCTGTGGCAGAGCCCTCATCTGGCATGCTCAAGGCTCTGGCTTCTAGCACCAAAGGGGAAAACAAGGCATATAGAGACCTATGTTTCCAGTCTGGGAAACATTTCTTGTAAACGTTAGAGCCTCAGACCCCCTCTCCCACCCAACCCTGTTCTTTGCATCCCCAGCCCTTCTAATATTTTTGAGACTGGATCTTGCTAAATCACTAAATTGCCCACACTGGGGATGAACTCTGGATCCTCCTGCCTCGGTCTCCTTGAGTGATGAAATTACAGACACATTACAACTGTGGCTGGAGGCGCATCAGATCCTCAAGATCAAGATGGAATGACCAGGCCTACTTGCCTCCCTGAGGGGTAAGCAATAAGTTGAAGATTATACTATAATTGGTATCACTTGGCCCAAGAAAGTCTAGACAGACTTCAGTTACCCGGGTGGGTAACCAGGACCTCCTGACCCATCCCTTCCTCAACAGTCCTTGCTCTTTCCATGTACACTTGCTATGTGACCTGCTTCCCCATTGGTCAATGTTACCTAAGCGGCTATCCTTGTAACTTTATGGGTTGTTCGTAGTTTTGACCCACGGTGTACCCGCCTTGTGATTTTCCTCTATAAAACTTCCACTGTGAAGTGGGGTCTGTGGCAACTCACCTTCTGGTCCACTGTCTCTCTCAGTAAAGTTTTCGTACTCTTAACC